TGTTTCCACAATGTACAACTAAACAACAACGAAACGTCAGGCGCTACAACCGGCAACAGTACTTCTCAGGACGAATCTCACCCGGACGATCAGATTACAAGATCAACTTTAAGAAATGTCATTCTAACAAAACGAATTTTACGTTTCTTAAATGATTTTATTCGTAAGAAATATTAAAACAATTGTCTTAACATTTACAATGATACAATGACTATACATTGAGTTCGATTTGGTTAACAACTCGAGTATAAATTGAACGACAATAGTTTTCTCATTTATTGAGAATGTATGGTTTAATGATCAAGATTACAGAAAAGTTTAGTGGTGACAGCCCGCTTGCAAGAAGGGCATTTGACAGAGGAGCCCTTCATTAATTCTTTTACACAAGTTCTACAGTACAAAAAATGGCCACAGGGCATGATGAGGCAGTCACGAGGCTGTTTGGCACACTGCTTACAAAGCACAGAGCTCCTGGATTTTTCGAGTTCCATTTTGAGATCGAGAATTTTTTGGGCACTTTTCGCCTCGGATTCTTTTACTTTGTCTAAATTCTTCTCAAACTCTTGTTGCTTTTCCGTACAGTCACGCTCTAGCTGTTCCCTAAAACTTTCACGAATTTCAAACATTGCAGTGTGGTAATGAGTTCTCAACTCAGCTTGTACCATCTTATGCATGCTCTGTTGCTCACTGAGACGTAGTTTCTCGGCATTTAGCTGAATTACACATTCACTCATGTCTGAAATCCTGGACTGAATGGAACGCATTTGAGACAGCTTCTGAGCAGCTTCCTTACCGATTGCACAGGAAGACAGGAGACCTGAGGATCAAACGACAAAATAAATAAAAAAAGAACAATTTTACTTCTATACCAGGAGAAGTCCCCCTTTCCGAGTAATAACAATCAATTTATAATTTAACTCAATATCAATTCCCTTACTATTCATTATAAATTAAATCCAACATATTTGGTTATAGGGAAAATATTTAGTTATTCATTCATTTTTTTTATTTGTGGTATGGCCCAGCTCAGCCTTAAAGCTGGTTTAAATGGAATCCGGTGTAAAACAACAATTAGGCCAAAACACAACACTGAGAGCAACGTCACCTACTCTGCGAGAAGTACACGTGTTCTTTAACGTACCCCGCCAACAGTACGGTATAGATGCAGGCGATGAGATGGGGACTACTGTTTATCATCCTTATCTGCGAAGACTAGAGCACCTTACCATTTGAAGATGCCATAGCAAAGGCAGCACATTCTCCTTAGTTACTTTAAGATCTTGATCAAAATGAATTAAACTACGCCCGTTATAAGATGGAAACACCTCTCAAATTTAAACATCTTTTATCGAAACGCGGGGCTAAATTTTAGTTCAACCCATTGATGATGTTGAAATGTACATCGAATGCCGTGAGGTGAACATCTGTTCTCACTTAAACAAAACAATCGAGTGGTTTAAAGCACTAACCTCGACGCTTATCATATTCTCGAAACTCCGTGACTCCATGAGGCCAAGTAAACTGCACACATCCATCTAAGCACCCATCTTTCCAACTCCCCTCTTGAACAGTACCATCCGGAAGCGTCAAAGTCCCATAGCCGGTCATTTTGTCGTACTGCCAGTCACCTTCGTATACAGCACCGGAAGAAAACATCATCTTTCCATGACCATGCCTAGAGTAAGCCCAAACAATTTCATCAACACGTAAGGCTCGGTTGAACTAAGCAGTAGAATACATAGTCTATGTGAAAGTACATCTGTGTAAAAGCGAAATTGAAAGCAAATTACGCCCTTTTCAGTAAATTAGAACCATCTTATATTTCTATGTTGGCGTGTGTACTTAGTCAGAAACGAGTTGAGGCTCTTACAAGTCTTTCCGAAACAGGAAGTTTGAAGCTCGATCATTTGAAACCAATTTCTTTGTCTTCTTTCTGCGCGATGACCTTAGAGATGCATTAACACAGGTGATAATTCTCATAGTAGTAGCTGTTACTGGACTTCTTTTTTCTTGGTTATCTCGGTGATTGTTTCTTTGATTAAGTCGTCTCCTAAACACGTCAATACATATCTCTTTTCAGCAGATATCTGCGTACCGTCTTCAGCCCGTACTTTGTTTTTACCTCATATTGTTTTTCCATCCACCACTGTAGACTCCATGTTTAGCTGTTGTTAGATTGTCGCAAGGCAAAGAAAGGATGAGACCTTTACCCATCCCATCTCTCTTGCCTGTGTGCAAAACAGAGATCTTCCATTACTATTAAAGAGTTACACTTTCTTGCGCATGATACTGCACGACCAGTCATTAAATATTCCTCAAAATTAAGCATTTTGCTGAGTGTGAAGTCTTGCTCATGGGCGATTAACATGCCTTGGCCTTGCATTATCTTTGAGTAGGGATGGAATTACATTACATATTTTACTATTTTTGGCCTTTTTACTACTTTTGCTACGTTTCACTTTGTGGCATAAGATACGTAATTTTTAGCTCGTGAAGAAATAAAGACTTCTTATGAGACTCAAGTTATATAGGGTGCGATAATGAAACACTAATTGATACTTATCAGGTATGAAAAATAACACGGGGACGCAAAATAACAGTTAACGATGATTCACAGAGACAGAGGTAATTGTCCTCGCTTTTCATCGACGATGATGTAAATACCGATGATCAGTTTTCGCTTTGTAGCCTTTTAAATGGTACTGAATAGTTTCTAACAGTAGCCGGACAGTTGACCAGACTGAGCGTTACCTTTACACCAGTCTCCTGTGTACAAAGTTTTACCCATCACCGTTTTAAGGTTACCATGACCATGTGGAAGTTTCCTTTGACTACTTGCATTGTAGTTGGTAACTGCAAGAAAATAATGATGCAGTAAGTGATAAGCTTTATCTGAAGATGTCTATGTAGTTTTTGTACCTTGCTAACACAATGGAAGTATGAAAAACTACTCAGAAGTGGTCTTAAGTATATATTGGTTCCTATTTTTTCCCTCATTCATGCAAAGAGATTTGAAAGAAGCGGAAGAGGAGCATTGATAAACTTAAAGAAAAAAATTTTCTAACGTGTTCTAACGTTAGATTGAGATTGAAGTTGCCAGTGTGAAGCGCTACGTTTTGACTGTATACTAAGTACTAGTCCTCTTCAGGCAACCTGTAATAGGAACAGGTGGAGTCATATCTGACTTAAAATGCACATCAACGCCATTTCTTAGCGTTTCTTTGTCTGGTGGATCTCGGGGAGGAAAAAAATAATCATTAACCGTCGATTTCAACTATCGATTAAATATCCTACATTGGTCTTCATATCCAAAGGAAGCACAAAGGACAAAGGAAACAAGTGCATTGTGACAAATTGACGCTCCCTAAACCAAAATTGTACCTGCAGCTCCGCTGAAGGGTAGTTTATCGTGATATACATGCTGTACCACATCCTCTGTTGTGGAAGCTTTGGGTTGTTTATTTGTAAAAGGATTTCGTACATATCCGCACTCCACGCTGTTCTTGAAGATAACTTCCTCAAGAAAAGATTGCACCGCCAAAATGTCTGCCCGTGGCTTGCTTTTCATTTCTGCAAAAAGGACGCCATGGTCACGGGTCAGGAAACACTAAACGTGCCGAACAACACAATGAAAAAATTAATGCCGAAAAACTGAGTACCGCCTGAGGGCCAACCTTACCTAGAGAAGGGCGTGATTTGGCTTTCGGCAGTACGTAGAAAGGCTATCATAAAATTTCTAAAGTTTCAATTGACATTCGTTCCATACATGTGATTGTTGTTAATATTAGTATGTTTAATATTATTTCACAGTATAAACGACAACAGGATATGCACCGGATTGGTCAATATAATATTACTTGGTTTTTCTCTAGAAGGGTAAGACAACGACTAGCACTCACCGCGTTAGTAAATGCCCAACTTAACTCAGTTGTTAACATAAGCATCGGAGAGAGAAAAAAATTCAATTAGGATACCCAGTTCTAAACAACGTTTATCAATTAGTTTATCAATCATCTACACTGTATCACTTTACCTAAACTGCCATTCGACAGCTCAAGAGTTGCCAAGCTGACTGCTGTTAATCTTTGAAAAAGTGTTTTTTGAATGCTTAAACAACGCATCAAAGCTTCCATGGGTTGTTTCAGATCACTGAGGAGAACCTGTGTATCATGTTTACAATTTTCTCCTGTACTGCTCACATCAGAAGCCTCATGTTTATCCGAGGTATGAACACTTCCCTTGACATCGGTGTCAGGTTGGCTTGAAGAGCATGAAGCACGACCAGCCATTTGGAGAAGAACAAGTCTGTAGAGGGAGCTCTGGATTTGTATACACTTAGTGATGCTCTTCAGCAGGGCTTCTGACAACTGTTTTCCTTCAGAAACTGTTAGCATTTGACCCGTTTCTTTTTCAACTCGCGGATGAGCACTGACTTTCGAGGTGAGACCAACGATTGATTCGCGGAAAAAATCTTGTTCAGATGATCGTAGTTGTTTAGCGTCAACTGATTCTGCGCTGGACTCTATGATCACTGGCGAGACAAGTGTGGCACTACATTAGTTGAAATAATGTTGTGAGGACAAACCTATGCTTGATAATTTCAAGCCATCTGGAGGAAAACCTGCCGAGACTAGCGCGATCTTTAAACGAAATAGTGCTCAGAATGTTGTAGTCTCTAAAAAATCCTTTCGTTCCCAATTAATTGTGGACATTTTCTTTTGAGCTGATACGGATGACCAGGTCAAATAAAATGGCGCACCAAAGGAGTCCATGATACACTTCAAGTAATTGATCCGGATTCGAAAAAAAAAGATTGCAATACAGGGATGTGCCTAATCAAACGTTGCTAAGCCTGTATTATACCTTAGTAGAGCCATTCTTAAATTATTGTATAATTGCTTGGGGTAATGCCTATTAGTGAACTGTGCAAACTTTATTTATATTACAAAAGAAAGCTATAAGAATAATGACCTTTTCCAGCTTCACTGAACACTCAAGTCCTTTATTTGAAGACTTGAATTTTATCAAGCTGTGTGATATCATTACCCTTCAACTTGCAGTGTTTATGTATAAGTTCCATTACCAACTTTTACCTTCAATCTTTGATATTTTTTTCAATCCTGTCAGAGATATACATAGACATAACACTAGGTTGTCCTCCAGGATGACTTATGCCGAAACAAATTATGGAATTTTCAACATAAGGTTCCAACATAAAGCTTCTCTCCCTCAAACGTTTTAAGAAAAAGTTTAAGCCAATTCTTATTGCGAAATATTAATTGCAGATTTACCAAAACAACAGTTTATTCTGGCTTTCCATTGTTTAAAACTAGAATACTCGGCTTTCTTTTGTCGCGTTTCTTTTTATGCTAGCTTTTTATGCTAGCTTACGTGTTTTGTGAAGTGTGTGTGCGTGTGTGGTACCTGACCCTTTAATATAATCATTTATTAATAACCTAAGTAAGGCTGCCCTATCTTTTTAGACCTCAATGGTTATTACAGGTAGCCTGTATTTTTTCGTGTAATATTATTTTTTGTATTATGAAAATTAATGTAGGGTACAAATAAAGTCGTTGTAGTTGTTATTGTTATTGTTGTTGTTAAGAGGGTGTAATCTCTTGGTCTAGCCAATAAATACGAAACCAATCAGTTTTCTTAATATATTACTGAAATGAGTGTTGATAAAACAAAGTGCTACTGAGCAATAGAAAAGACAATCCTATGTTTTCCAATTTTTACTCACTTGGAGTTGCATTTTCCTCTTTCACGGTGGAATCAAACAGCGACTTCAAGGGTTTATCCTTTCTTCTCTTTATATTTGGGGTTTCAAATGAACGAACCTGGCTATTGTCTCTACCTAATTAAATACAAAACGGATTAAAAATGGAAACATTTCA